CAGGGCAGCAAATGCAAATGTGAGCCATGTTTGGACCGGCAAGAATACATGAGCATCTAATCAATTTCTCCATGAGAGTCAAGTTCTGTGGTGCAGTCCTATGCCGAGGTGTAAATTGAGGAACTCACATCAGTTTAGGAAGTTGACCATGCAATTATACTAGTAAAAATTGTATATGATCTCTTTATCGCAACTCATAGGAAGAAAAGCTGAAACCTAACCTTCCCTCGTTGGTTGCCTTCAACTCTAGCTTCTGAAAGGGGCTGCAGATTGGTTTAGAGACATTATATCAGCCAATTTGAATCCTAGAATCAGAGCTGCAGTTTTACCCTATGGGGTAAATAGCGAAGTCAGGATTTTTAAGTACCTGCTATTGGGATCATAATAGAAGCCATGGATGGAGCCGTCACTGCAAGAGAAGCAGACATAGTAAAATCCAGCTATTGTCAATCCACAGTCAGTTCCAACATTCACGAAGTACTGCTCCTTCCATCTCTGCAACAGCAAATCAGACAAAACGACAACATTAGCAACTACTTACTTTGTATTTGGTTTAAACCTAATACATTCTCATTCAATTCCTAAATAACTTTTTACTAACCCAAAATAATAGATAGCAAATTACCATGAATATGTAAGGATAGTTACTCAGGTCCAATGATTTACCACCATCAACCTCAACTTGAGCCTGTTAAAAGATTGATGAACAATATCATTAAAGGATTTTAAATTTCTGCATGCAAAATATAGAGGTTCTAGCTCTTTACCAGAAGGGGTGAAAAAGATGGAAATTTGGTCCAGTGCCTTATATCATCCTCTTGCCTGTCAAATGTTTCCAAAATATTTACAGATCAGAAAAAGACCTGTTTTATCAACTGTCTATGGCCAAAACCACCAATTCAGTGTATGGTAACCACTAAATTAAAAGGGGTTGCATGCTCAATTTAAGAAGGGAGTAGGTAACATACGATGCTTCCCACTTGCCAGTATAGAAAGTATAGTTCTTGGTGTCAACAATCTCCCCTTCCCAAAATGTCACAACCTGAAATTCATAAAAGTTTTATGGTGTTTTAAAACTTTCTTTCAGGAAAAAAATTAGACTAAAAGAATCAATTCATCATTAAATGGAAGTAAGAAACTGCTTACTGCAGTGTCCGCCATAGGAACATTCAGAGCTTCCATGGTGCCACATAGATACCCATGTTCAAGGTCACATCCTTGTATGCGGACATTAACTCTCCATGCTTCATCCTTTTGCAGACTAGAAACATTCTGCGTACCAGAAAAGGCCTGAAATGCACAGCAAAAAGTTCT